TGACTATGAACTACAGGATGGCAGCTGCTCTTCCTTTTAGATGAAAAGTCCCATGTGAGGGATCTTCCACAGGTGTGATCATCTGAAGAGTTGGGAAGAGTTTCTACAGGAAAACCTTTTGGAAACATAAATTAATCTAACAATTTAGACCACGCTGAATTGATAATGATGCAACAGATCTGGAAAACTACAGTTTCTGGAAATTGCTTTGGAACATTTGAAACATTGACAAGTCAAATATAATTTTAGTTCTTTAAAAATAGGCTGACAATGTTCTAGATCACAGAAAATGTTACAAAATAGTAGATGTGAATGTTCAGTGGATTTCCAAAGTGAAGGCGTTTCATAAGTCTTGACCTCTAGACAGGATATCATTGTATACTGTAAGTTCATTATTGGGACACTACAGTATAGATGATGTACTATCGAGGGGGTCAACACGCCTCCAACTGTTTCCTGCGGACCCGCAAACATTGTGACAGAGAGTGGCGGTGAAACCGTTACCATTACTGAGTTTAGTAATGGTAAGGGTTCTGCTGCCTTCTCTCAAAAATCATCTGGATATGATGGAACTTCAGAGCAACAGATGGCGCAGTCAAAATCAGACGAGTGAACGGATGGACAAAAATACCAGAAAGACCGATGTTAAGCAGATTTGAAATTCTGAATTATTTGTATTCTATACAACTTTATAGCCTTTAATGTGTTATATGAGACTGCCATTGTGTGTAATTTAAATAAAATAATTGAAATGAACTATTTTTCTTGTTTTGTTTCATTATTTGCAATTATTTTTTACAGAATCTACTTTTAACTATCATTTTACAGAGAAAGGCAGCATCTGCGGTTGGTAAAATACTTGTGCTTTTAGGAGCCAAACACCTGATTAATAAGAATCTTTGCTTTAACTTTAATGAACTTACAATTAACTGATACAGACAATGGAATAAGAGTAATGGCCAGTATAAGGATATAGAGAAAGAACCAGGGACATATCATTGCTTTAGGCCAGCTAGAGGTATAAGCATATAATTCTTCATGGAGTTCTCCTGCAAAAAGGGAAATAAGTGCATCTTGTCACCATTTTGAAACTCACTTTAGCAGCAGATTAACTGCACTTTCCATTCCAAAGGTTATCTAACCCTCTAGGGTCTAGGCAGTGGAACTTTAAATGGCTTTTTACATTATTTATGTTTTATAGTTTTACAAAAAGAATTACATTTTATATATATATATATATATATATATATATATATATA